ATACAGTGGTACCTCTGCTCACGAACGCTTCTGTTCACGAACGCTTCTGTTCACGAACAGGAGGTTCAGCAAAATTTTTCTTCTGTTCACGAACTCCACATCGGGTGACGAACACGACCGCGGCCATCTCCCCCGCTCTGACACGTGGTCGTGGCTTCTAGTCGGGATTGCGGTCGCAGACAGACCTGTACACACTTGCTGTGGACCATTTTTGTGTGCTTTTATAGCAAATACAGTACTGCACAGTATTATTCAATCCGGCATAGCTCCAAAGAAAGTGCAGAGCAAGCATGGTGGGAAAAAGAAAGTGCAGAGTGGTAATGAATGTACATATGGTTCAGAACGGATTAACCTAATTTACATTGAACGTTATGGGAAAATTTGATTTTGGTTCGCTACCAATTCAGTTCGCGACCAGAATCGTGGAACGAATTAAGTTCATGAGCCGAGGTACCCCTGTATAACTGACTTGCAGAGAGTTACTCAGGTGCAGAGAAGCGCTGGTCTCCGCACATAGTGTGAAGTGTTAAGGTGCCCATACACCTTACAACCATGGCAAGACTTTTGGCTCGCCATGGCTGTAAGGTAATTTTAAAAAAACATACGATCCGCCCATCTTGGACAGGCAGATCATACTTGCAATCATCGCTTCCGATGACTGCAATGCTGAACGGGCAGTGTGCGCTTGCGGCATTTGTCTTACGACCAGGCCACAAACCCGCCGACAATCGTACGATTCTCCTGCGGGTTTTCGAGCCTGCTCGTAAGACAAAGGACGTGCGATTGTACAGTAGAAACGGTTGCACGCCTTCCATACACCTGCCGATTATTGTATGATCGCGCGATTTCCCGCGATTATCATATGATAATCGGCAGGTGTATGGGCACCTTTTTAATGAAGTTTTCATTTTATGTCAGGTTCTTATTTCTGTCCATGACTCCTCTGGGGATATTTTCCCCACTTCCTGTCCCTTTTCTGACCATTCAAGTATTGTGGGCAGAAAGACAAGGATAGCAATAAAATCCTTGAACAAATACAAAAAGTGAAAAAGGTTCAAATTCTTCTGGAGTTGGGCTTTGTTACTTTTAAAGTGCTACTAAAGCAAAAACGTTATTTTACTTTTTTGTATAGAGTGAAGAGGGATTAGAATATGTCAGGTCTTTATAGCTGTCCGTGTCCTGTTAGGGAGATTCACTCTGTGTATTTGTCCTGGTGACTGTTCTCACTGAAAGTTAAAAAAAAATCCCAAATTTTGGGTTGTCATCAGAAAAGGAATAGATGGGACACCACCAGGAATTTCCCTCCTCCTCCTTTTTGGAGGGATTTCCTCTTACTTCCTGTTGTGGCTATAAGACAGGAAGTGAAGGGAGATCTCCTCAATGGCACACAGATGGCAAGAAAAGCTAACAGGAATTCTAACTAACCACTATCCAAAACTTGACTTTAACTTTAGTTTTACTAAAATGATCTGCGTCCCAGGGACAGTGATCTATTCCAAACTGCCATTACCTTGAACGGGTGACAGCGGCCGCAGCTAAATGGGACATCTGGGATCCCTGCCACAGGAATTCCAAAATGCAAAGTGTGAACAAAGTCTTAGATAAATAATTTGGTTTGGGACAAAAACTCTTGAAATGCTGAAAGATAATTTTAAGATGTACTTTCCTGGCAAACGACGAAGACCTGCTGTAGGATTGTTCTCACATTCGAAGCCAACCACAAAGTGCTAACAAGATACTACTGTGGCCTGACAAGAGTAGTGAAGAGCTTGCAGGGTCTTCCCTCCTCGGCTTTTGTGGGTGTTCTGAACTGGGTACCTATATGCACATTTGGTGGCACTGCCCATTAGCCCAGGCCCTGTGGTCAAAGGTGTATCGGCATATTGTATTATCTTCAGTCTACCCCTGGATATGCTAATCCAAGCAAGGTTCTCCTCTATAGGAAGCCGGAGAGCGTTTGTTTGCACTATTTCAAGTTGTTCACCTTTTTTTTTTTTTGTTTTTACGGCCACCAAGCAAACCATTGCTAAACCTTGGAAGTGTAGGACCCTGAACTTTCATGAGGTGAAAAATAAGGTGAAGGATATTATGATGATTGAGAAGATGTCCACAATCCTGCTGGACCAAATGTCTGCTTTTAATAAAATCTGGGACTTTGGATAAAACACTTACCTCCCTGTTTTAAAAGGGGGTTCCTGAGTATTTGTGCGCGCTGGTGGGGCAAGATGGAGACCTCCTTTGGGACCCTTCTTATGCTCTTCTCCCTCTGGTTCCCGAATCCTTTGTTGCTCTCTCTCATCTCATTTTTCCAGTATTTATTTTTTAATATTTTCTATACTCAATGCGTCCTTTTACCCCCTTAATTTTTCATCTCCCTGTGTTCTATTCTCCCCCCCATGTCTGATGTTCCTGGCCCCGCCTATAGAAATCTGTAACGGGCAGCTATCCATAGCCAGTGGGCCATTGTCCTTCTTGGCCTAAGGATGGGGCTTGCCTTTGTCAAACAGCCCCATTGCTACTGTTCTGCAAGTGAGTAGTCATGTTGATGGTTTACTGCTCTACTATGGACAATGACTGCCATCTTCTTACTGATTGTTGGCATCTTTCAGCCTATATATACCTGTTCCTATGCATTAAATCTATTCCCAATAAAAATGGATTTTACGTTCTTGCCTTATTTTCTTTAATGTTGCAAAATAATAAACTCATTTGTCATGTCCTTTTTTTTAAAAGCATACTCCACCATGTTTCATTTTACACCCATATTTAGGGAAATAGCCGCATTCCCATACCCCCACCCCTACACCGCCTCCCTCCATTTATCTGAATTGCAGGATTCTGTATTTATTTCAGTTTGGTGGCTCTGCCCACACAGCCATGTTATCCATCCATAGATTCAATCAAAGATCTGTTATTGGAAAGACTAGTGCGGCAGGGGGACTTGTAGATCTCAATAGAGTACAAGCATTGATTGCACTTGTAGTCCATTGATGACTTCCTTCAGTCCCATAAGTTAAGGCCCATACCTTGACATGGATATGAGCTGGAGTAGTCTGCAAGAGCGGGGACATTGCACCTGTGATCCACTGATTGCAGTTGCAATGCTCTGCGGGCCCCAGTGCAAACAATGCACATTTTTTTTTCTTAATGTGTGTGCATTTATTTTTGTTTGAGAAGATGGACTATACCTTGAACGGCAAATCTTTTTTTTCAAATGGGACTAAAACGAGTTATTTGCGGTGAATATGTGGATGCTGGTGGAAGAGGATTGACCTGGTGCACAGTAATACGTTGTACACGTGGTCATACAGAGATTAATTGTTGTAATTCTCCTTTATGAGCACTAGGGGGAGACAGAGCACTTGGATTCGGTGTACATTTAAGGAATGATGCGGCTCAACATCTGTTACAGACAACATTAGCCGTGCTTTCCAGTAAATGTCATTATTTTTATTAGGTGCTCCGGGAAAAGCAGCTTGCCTGGAATTCTAACACTTGATATGAGTTCAAAGGCTATTTCTCTAATGTGATAATTAGCAACTGCAGTTCCAGTAATAATAAAATAGCAGTTTTTATTGTAATGAATATTGTTCTTCTGACAACTGAAGTCTGTGTACAGCGGCATCTTCATAATTCAGAGATGCAGAATGCATGTTTTAAAGGGAATGTGCTTGGCCAATTGATCACTAAATGTGACTGATCCTTGGGAGCATGCACGTCTAAAGAAATACCAGACTTTTCTTCTCATTAGGGATGCACCGATCCCGGTATTTCGCTATAGAGTACGAGTACCGATATTTTTATTAATTGTGTAATGACGTGGTGCCCGGCTTCCTGATTGGCCGGGAAGCCGGCTCCATGCTCCCTCCTCATGAGGTGACGAGAGAGCATGAAGCCGGCTGTCCGACCAATCGGAAAACCGGACGCCGCGTCATTGCACAGCGCCTGGCTTCCTGATTGGCCAGCTACCGACCAATCAGGTGACGAGGAGAGCATGGAGCCGGCTTCCCGGCCAATCCGGATCCTGGGCAGCGTGTAACAGGCTAGGCATCGGAGCATTTGGGCGAGTACGAGTACTTGCCCAATTACTCCGCATCGGCGCTGGTACTAGTAATGGTATCGGTGCATCCCTACTTCTATATAAAAAAAACATATAACAGAGGTGGACAAATATGGAATTCAGGCGCCAGTCTGTCCAATCATGGAGCCAGCAGGCTTTATTTTAGGACCCCTCTTCATTGATGACTAGAAAAACCTCCAAAAGTTGGGTGCCAGCTGTCATTTATAAGGGGCATTGGTTACCTGGCCCTGGGATCTGTCTATATGCAGAGAGTCCTATATCTACAGACCAGTTTGACAGACACTTGATCATGCCACGACTACTCTGAGGATAGCTGGGAAAAGGTAAATGGTTCTGTCTCCTGGCTTGATCGATTTTTCAGATGTATTGCACGGGTTAAAGCTGAACTTAAGGCAGATATAAAAGATGCAAATTCATGAAGCTCTGTAATCGTATATCATTACAATGGAGACACTGAGAGGGGGACTCTCTGTGAGAGGGGGACAGAGAGGGAGGTGGAGGGGGGGACAAAGAGGGAGGGAGACTCTGTGGGAGGGGGGACAGAGAGGGAGGGAGACCGAGAGATTCGTGCTGAAGAGGGCTCTGAACAGGAGGGGTTTCTGGCATTATACAGAAGAAATGTCCGGAATGTAACATTGTCATTGCTTGCTGGAAGCAATGCATGGTGGGATATGTAGTCTGGAGAAATCACACAAAGTACACTGGGAATCCAGGAAGTTGTTGAAAGTGATTGATCTATGGAAGACAAAAAATAAAAGGGATTTTTTCAAGTAAGCTTTGATTGCATTTTAAAAAACAACTCTAGTATGTATTCCTCTTACAATGCTGATGTTATAGCCGGATAGTATATGCTGGGACTTTACTACTCCTTTTTTTTATTTTTGAATACATAATTTTATTCACTTTGCATTCTTTTCTTTCAGGTGCTGCCAACATGATCTTAATCTACATTCTCTGTTTTTCTACCATCATTATTGCTACAGGTACCTTTTTGTATTTCTCAAGGGTTAGCCTTATGCAAGAATTTAATCTTCAGTCAAACTCCATTATACCTGTTTTTGTCCCAGCTGCCTCTGGTGCCTGGTGGGAAAACTGTATTGCTCTGAATCTGCTCCCCCTCCCCCTCTCCATTGTATAGCCCCAAAATTCTTATTGAAGGGCATTACAGCCAGGCACACTTCTGCCTGCACACCCCCAGTTTTTTCCATAGTTTTAGTATAAAATATAGATAGGCTTCAGGCAGAACTATCTCTGGGAAACAAACAAATAACCTCCTCTTGCAATGGAGTTCCCCAGCACTGCAAGGGTTCACTGCTCATATAAGTCTTGGGTCCCGATGTAAAGCAGATTTACTTACCCTCTCCTTGCTGGTTTGAAGACTGGAACCCTCAGCCTCTTAACCTCCCCCCTCCGCTCCCTGCGGTGGTTGGAGGCCCACTGACATCATCACGTCTAATGCGAGAGCCCTGCAGTATATGTGAGGATGACGAGGGACAGTCCCAAGCTGGAGCGGAGGGGAGAGCAGTGAAGACCAACTGGCAGGGAGCGGAGATTGGGTAAGTAAAAGTGTTTCACATTGGTCCCCTAGATATTAATGAGCAGTCAATCCTTGCAGAGCAGGGTTAAAGTTTTTTTTGTTTTTTTTTCTTGTTTCCCCGAGCTTTAAGTATTTTTATTTTTAATAATTTTTCTTTATTTGCTTTTACTGCTTTTTTCTATTCAGCGTCAGTCAGGGGGTGTCCTTGACCCGGGAGAAGTATTAGGTGCAGGAAACTTTTAGAAAAGTCAGAATCTAAAACAAGTACTTGTTACAGGTCAGTAACTCATGAGATTAATTTTTCACAATTTCTAATATTTTGTTCTTTCTCTCCTTGCAGGTTCGTCTTCTGTCATGTCCTGTTTCTCTATTGGCCCCCAGATTCCTTTGGTGGAGTTTTATTCCAACGTCACAGCATACTGTGTGTTGAATCAAACATGTTTGCTGGAAATGAACAGCAATATCATGAGTGATGAATTGTACTGGGAGGTGAACGGTCAAAGTATCCCAAAGAGCCAATATAGTGCCATCAATGAGACAACTTCCAGAGTGACCTTCCAGCCTACCTTGACCTCGGCGAATATGCTCACTTGCAGTACCGATCTACACGGACAGATTAAAACAACTCTAATTGGAATGTTCATTAGCAAAGGCTGTAAGAGTTCTGTTCGCATTAAATCTTTGTTAATTCAAGCAGACTAAAGACCCGCTAGAGGCATCAGATCATTGTGTCACAATCTGGCCAGTGATTGTGAATCAAGAGATGGCCATATGTCTGTGGGAACAATGAGACCTGTATATACAATCTGACTGGCTGAACTTAGGGCCCATTCCCACTGTAATGTGTGTTGGTGTGGTGGGTTCATTCTTTATGACACAACAGCCCATAGTAATGCACTACTGTGTATTGTGGTGCGCTGTGAATAATGGAGCATGTCCAGTTTTTAGTGCAGTCTGGTGTCTTGTCAGCCCATTAAAAAAACATAGGCTGCCCTAATGCAACCCATGATCAATGTGCAACATAAGATGTGTTAACACAATGTACCAGACTGCAGTAGTATGAATTGGCCCTCAAGGGAAACACGGCTCCATCAGGAGTTTGAGCGACTTGAAGCAGTGTTCACCTTTGGAGGAGGGAGTGTAGGAGCGCTGTATAGAATTGATTTGGATACTATTAAGGCTTAGATTCTTGTCATGTCAAAGCATCATGGTTGGGAGTCATTGAGGTCCTCAAGATGCTATTGTATCTGTCTTGAGTGATATCTGTGCATTAGACGGTGCAGAGCTGCAACTCCTCTGTTACTGTTCACAAGATCACCTAGACCTGGCAATAGTGGGGGGTCAAGAGCAGACTGATCTATACCTAAACTGTCAGTATGCTGGAGAGTGTGCCCCGGCAGTGGGAGAGGAGGTCACTGCTTCCTAGTCATGCTCAAAGCATCACACTTATACACAGTCAGCTGTTTGCACTCAATTTATCCATTGCTATATATGCTCCAAGAAGGAGGATCTCATAGATTAGAGTTAGGACCACACTACACAGAGGGGCCCGACGAAGCTTCGTGGCTTCCACATATTTTGCAAAAGTTGTTCAACTAAAACCTCTGTTAGACAGTATAAGGTGGTCTGTGCAAGTTGGCTGGCATGTGTGCTGGGAAATGTTTGTGTTTTGTACTTTAGCCTTAAGTGAACTTCTATTTTGCCTATGATAGAGAATGCTTGAAAATAATATTAAATGTTTTCTTTGCATAGAACACAGTTGTAACTGTCATTTCTTTTTCCTAATATTTCAGTTCCTCCGGAAAAGCCTAAGAACCTGTCATGCATATGTTACAATAAGGATAAATTGACATGCACTTGGAGCCCAGGGAGAGCAACCGTAATCCCTACCACGTACACCCTGAAACAGTCATGGTAAATGGGGTTTATCTCCTCCTTTTGTCTACTTTCCTGGCATGGTAGTAGCACATACATAGGGGACCATCTATAAATCTTCCATCGCTGCCATACGCTGCGTGAATGCCATTCGTACCGCAGTTGCCCAGCCTACGGCCGGGTGGAAGATTTATAAATCAGCACCGTAGTATTTATGGGTTGAGTATTGTGGAATGGAATCTATAATGTTTTTCAGTCAGTTTTTTTAATTATTCATTTATTATGTTTTTAAACAGTTATTTTATATCTTTAATATATCATTTATACAAACTTTATTTTGCAAGTAAGCAGTATAGTATGAAAGATTCCAGAGCACTTAGGAAACCTCGGACTGAACATCGTGGGTCACTGGGATGAGTCTTTAGTGCATGGAGGCTGTAAACAGGCTGTGGGTAGAACCCTCCAGCACAACTAATAACTTTCATTCGGTAGAGGTTACACGACATTTAGCCCTCGTTCACACCTGAACGTTTTGTAGCGCGTTCTACGCTCGACTAACGCTCTACAAAACGCTCAAATATAAATCCCATTGTATTCAATGGTCTCGTTCCCACCTTGGCGTATTTCCGCCCGTCCCTAACGCGCTACAAAACGGCCCACGCCTAAAAAGGTACATGTACTACTTTGGGCCGTTTTGTTGCGCGTTTCCATTGGGATACAGCCAAGTAGCCTTCGGAAACGCGCGTTTGTCGCGCGGCCGCGCATATGCAGTACGCCTAGGTGTGAACGAGACCTGAAAAAGAAGGATGTGAAATTGGTCATGTGATTCTTTGCTATCATATGAAATGTAGAGATTTTGTAAATTGGACACTAGAGGCAGGGTAGATTACCAATTACAGTCACTCTGCCTAATTGGTGAGCTATGATATTAGCCATACAGACCGTGCATTGCTTTAAATGTGTCCGCTGACTCCTAGGCATCTACTGTGAGAGAAAGCAGGAAAGCACAACTATTGTGTGGCACTGGAAAGCAAGCAGTGTATACAGTATGTCCTGCCTGTGTGTGCAGTAAACAAACAAATATGGCTGCCCCCATGTATGTATCTCATGTAATGTGTTTTTAACACTGTAATGCAATTTGATTAGGTTATTGACATCAGCTGATCTCTTTATTGATAAGACTTTATCTTGCAGTTATTAGAATGTAAACAATTAAATAAAATATGGGCATTAAAAAATCACTTTTTGGAAGTGAAATTTAAATTTGGTAAAAAGGTACAACATCCTCACTCCAGGTTTCCAATCACTATAAGAGTTTCTGATGGTGTTGGACTCCTTTTGTAGATTATCTATATTAAGCAAACAACTGTGGAATCCGAAGGTGACACTGTCAGTACAGCTTTGTGGGGGGTGCTGGGACACGGCCGCTATGGAGAAGTATTGTTCATTAGGCTTTCTGCAGCTTTCTATACAGTCCTTGTGCAGAGTTCTCCTTTTACCTGTAACCAGTGTTTTCATCCTCTCTCCAGCTTGTCTAACCTCCTTGGCTGTCTTCTCCTTTTGTGTCTGCTTGTCTTTCCTACACTGCTATAGGAAGGGAATGGACGAGGACTATAGCCCTGAATTGATGCAATACAAGCTTAATAGCTACCCTGCTGCTAGGGCAAGGGGGAGGAGCTCAACTCTCTCCAAAAATGACTATTCCAAAAAAACGGTACCCTCGGGGTTCAGGTAAGGGGATCCCGCAGTAAAACCTTTATTCCAAACCACACCAAAATAAAAAGGGTTTTTTCTCTTGTTTTTTGGTAGATGTGGACAGGTTGCACCGTGCATTTGCTTTTGTATCTCTCCTGGACTCTGGTGTAAGAACTCTGGCCATGTTGCAGACTCTACTTCCCCTTGTGGTCACAGGGAGATTCTCACTCCTCTCTTTGCATGGTCTGATATGTAAACTTATAGGGTTATTCACAAAGGGGGAAGAGTTTGGAGGAGGCAGGAGAAGGGAACAATCTAGGACAACATATCTGATTTGGAAAGTGAGTTGAATTTTTCCAAATCGCCTATTTTGCCCTAGATTGTTCCCTTCTCCTGCCTTCTCCAAACTCTTCACCCTTTTGTGAATAACCCTGTTAAAAAAAAAAAGAAGGAAGTTATAATGGCCATGGCAGGCAAACAGACCTGAAACATGCAATGTTCTACCGCCTGAAGCCATGAAAGAGTAAATTAAAAACAGCGCAAACAATAATGGGGCATGATTATAACCAGGGCTCAGCAATTCCCAAGAACTAGATCACTGTTGCTCATTTCCTCTGTTCCGGATTTTTCTTTTTTTAGTTTTAAGTAGGGTGGAGAAGGTTTAGAACCTCCAAGTTTTAATAAACTGTATGTATCGGTTACTTCCTGCGTGGTTATGAGGATAGGAAGTGAGAAGAAATATCTCCAGCAAGGATTTTTAAACCAGTGTGGTAGAATTGTAGACTTTGCCTTGGCACCTCATGTAGACAACTCCTATAGCATATATTTGTATATACCTATATATTGATTTAAGTGATAGTGGACTGTTTATATTTCACTTAGAAATATTATTACAGTATGATAGATGGGGGATATACCCATAATTGCCATATAAGAACATGGGATGCATAGAAGATAACTATTTTCTTCTTTTTCTAAATAAAAACTAAATTCTTGTTCCAGCCAAAAAAAATCTCTGCTCTTGGTAGCTGATCAGTAAAAGTACCTGAATGTACCTGAGCCTTGGTTCTCAACTGGTGGGTCCCAACCCAAAAGTGGGTCCAAACCCTGTGTTCAGTGGGTCGCCACGTGCCTTACACTGCACTAGGTGAGAGGCTCCTCAGCCTCCTCCTCCGCCTCCTCCTAGTGCAGCACTGTCTGTTCTCACACAGAGCAGCCATTTGTGAATGCTGCCCAGCGCCAAGTGTCAGCTTGAGGTGGGCTGGGGGTATGGTCTCAAGGGAGCTCCATCCATATGTGCATTGCTTACAGCTCCATTGTGTGCCCTGTAGAGGTGCCCGGACCCGAGTGATATCACATTCTGGCTCCTGGCACCTCTACAGGGCACGCAAGGGAGCTGTAGACGCAATGCACATATGGAAGGAGCTCCATCGCAGCCCACACTGAACCCCAGGCTGAGGATCCACTCCAGTTTTTGTAAGGTAGGGGGACTGGGTGGATCTTAACAAAAGAAAATGTAAATTTGATTAATATATGTACGAGCATGTAGTGCGTGAGATTGGGTCGGTTGTTAAGGATTAACGCACTCGCACCTACTGTGTGTTCTAGTACAGGAGGTGCCTTGCATTGCCATTCATTTGAATAGCACCCCAAATGCACCTTCCTCCCACAGTTTGATCGCCCGCACTGGAACACGCAGTACTGCAATGCCGTGCGTTCAACTGCGGTGTGACTTAATGACCAAGGACAAATGAGGGTCCCTAGGTTACACAGATTGAGAACCACTGATGTAGAGAGTGTCTGCAATTTAGTCTCTAAATGATATTGGAACATCTGGTTAACAGACGCCATCACAACTGGGGCTACACCGGGCAAAGTCTTGGAAGCTGATATTTGACAGGAGATGTTTCCTGAGAGTCTCTAAAGAGCACTGAGTGTCCTTATTACCGTTTGTTGAGATTTGTAAAGTTTGAATACATTTTAGAACCCTGAGGAAATGTACTCTCTTCCTCAAAAATGTGTTGACCCCATATATTCATTGTTCTAGAGATCTCACATCCCTCTACCTTCACCCTCAACCCTTGGACATGTAGGTGTAGTTGCGTACTCTTGGGTATGCACTGAGCCTTTTCCTCTGACTTTGCCTCTCTATTATTAAACTGAAAGCTCGCACTTTTTCCTTTCTGTCTGAAGCTGCGTTTGGTCATGAAGCCAGATATCCGTGTCATCTACCGCAAGGGGGGCAGTGTGATTTGGGGGCCTATTCTCTCTGCAGAGATCTGCACTTGGATTTTGTCAAGCCATCTTTGTGGAAAGATTGTGAGCTTCTTTATTAAAGCAGTGAAGTGTCCTGTAACATTTTTCTTTTCTTTTAGGAAAGAAGAGAAACGGCCTGATTGTGTATCAGAAGGAAGTGACAATTGCACATTGTACTTTCCTAATTTTCATGTGTTTATTGACACCACGTTCCAGGTGGTGGCCAAAAATGAGCTTGGGACTGCTGAATCCGATGAACTCAGACTCGATGTTGTTGACATATGTAAATATTATTTTTATTATTCCTTGCAACAGCTCCTCTTTCTGCTTTGAACCTCCCGGCCATTACTTTCTGAAAGAAGTAATTTTGCACAATAATATTGACATGTTTTCCAGCTTGAATTTGCCTTAATTTGGACCGTGGGTTGCCATGTCAGGACCACCTGGCTCAACAAAAGTAGAATACAAATTGACAGAGCCGGGTGAAAAATGATCATCTGAACTGTGACTACCTATCCGATGCAGTCACTGCTTGGGTAGTCAGGCAGCAGCTGCTTGAGTCCAGTATCCAGCAGCGGAGATACCTCCATTCACCCTGTTAGTGCGTGCTGAGCGAGTGAGATCTATGCGTGTATGCCTAGCCTTACACTGCAAATGCTGCACAGATGAGTCCTATAATATCTGGGCCATAACTTCAGCTTGAAAAATACCTCTTTGATTGTAAAATATAGCAAACAATGCCACAGGTATAATGCTTTTGTTTATTAAGTTTTAAAGCATAAGTAAACAGTCAACAGAAAGTGAAAAATAAAAAGAGCTTGTATGCACAGCATATTAGCATGTTATGGCAGACTTTACTCTGACCAAGAAGAGACATAAGCTGGCCAAACACTAGTATATTCATCAAATCTTACAGATTCCTCCATCTACACTAAACAGCGTAGATGGGGGAACCACCGTTGGGCTGTTCTAACAGTGACAGGTGTGCTGCTGTCAGAATACCCAAACAGTGACTGCAGCTGATTTGGCTCATTCAATTTTTAGATCGAAGGATGACGGCCGGGAGACTGCCAACAGGACTACCTTTGGAGAACAAACTGACACTGAAATTCGCGGCAAAGCTTAACACAATCTCCTCTGTCATAAAAGAAAAAAGGCTTCTGCTTTAAGTTCTTTTGGGCCAGGGACTGATGTGGCTTTAAAAAAAAGTTACCACCCTACACAGGGGGCAAAATGCTATAGGTGATTGATGGCCCCTGGCAGCAATGTCTCCAGACTAGCTGCTATATAAGGCTGTGTGAGCCCTGCCGCTCCGTCTCCTCCAACGGGTAGACATTCAGTAAAACAGTGATTTATGTGGTCATATTATTGCTTTATTACAGAAACACTAGAAGTACCTTTTGTAATAACCACCCAAAAAACTGTCTTCTGCTTTTTCCAAGAGGTTTAAAGGAGAACTATGGGGTTAAGGCTTTTCCCCGTAGTTCTCCTTAGGGTAACGGAAGGACACGAACTAGCGCCCTCCCGTCACCCTAAGCTCAGTATACTGAGACGCCGCAGTATACCGCAATCTACAGCTCGCGGTGTACTGAGAAGTTGAAGCGAATCCCGACAATTATGTCTGGATCCGCCCAGCTGCGTGAGCGACAGCTGGCTCTGCCTATCTAGAGGCAGAGCTAGCTGTATCCGCCCCCTCCCCCGTCCGTTCCGCCAGTCAGCGCTAGAGGAGCGGGAGGGGGGAATCCAGCCCCTCCCCTGTCACGGCAGAGAGCCGTGACAGGATCGGGAGGTGAGCGAATGCCGTTATGTGTTCGCTCACTTCCCGATCTACTGAGCCGACCTGTGACAGTCTCATTGTCGCATGTCGGCTAGAACTAGGAGGTGAGTGAAAAGCACTCACCTCATAGTTCTCCTTTTTAAATGTTACATAAGGAGATATGGACAGTGCATGCAGCTTGAGCACTGTGTTCAGGGTCTGAGGTGCCCTAAGCATTGTCGTCTGTCTCCATCATGGCCTCTGTTGTGGATAGTTTGATACACTGGTGGTCAAGGCTTCAGAAACAATCTTGTCCCAAGTGTATCATTTGTTTTATTGTATATATGTATTTGTATTGATGAAAAATTGTTGTATAAGCTACATTTTTGTTTTTTTTTCTTATTTGTGTCTAGTGAAGCCCAATCCCCCTGAAATTGTTAATGTGTTCTCCTTGGCGCAGCTACAGAGAGCTCTGAAGATTGAGTGGACCAATCCACTCTCAGAAAATTTATTTCCTATGAAATACAATCTCCGATACCGGAAGAAAGACAGCACAGAGTGGGCGCAGGTAACTCTCTATTTCCTTTTTCAAGTCCTGATAACATAGGCCCTCAGCATTGTCCTAAAACAGAAGTTCTAATGCTCTGTGCAGGGCAAGCTGGGAGCTGTGGTTCAACAAAAGAGGGAATGTGCTTTGCTTGTGTCTATGAATGGAGCAGTGTTGAAATTCTCTACTTTCTACCTGTAATATTTCATTTTGTGATGAGCACTTATAAGAGATCTGCTTCATGAAGGGATTGTGAGACTTTACAAATGTATATTTTGTAGAAGTGTGACATCAGATTGTGTTTTTAACACCGCTTAAAGCGGACCTTCAGCCCACAAATGAACCTTGTGTCTCGGCAGGTCTCTGCCCCTCTGCAGTCTGAACTGCCATTCTTCTTTTTTTTTTTTTGTTCCTTCATGACCCCTGCCCTCCATTCTCACCTAGGTAAGAATTGCATGTCTCCCCTACTGAATCTTCTGGGATTTGCCTGTTGCAATTACCAGAAGGCATCAGCTTCCATTCTTTCGATGGACAAGGTGTGTGTCATCAGGGGGCTGGACTGTTCGCACCTGGAAGAAACAGGCGGCTCCCGGGGATGAAATGAACGATAATGGCACGGGCCAAGGCATATGGCGGTGGATTACCAGAGGACAATACTGGATTCGCTGGGCATGCGAGTATGTTCATTTCAGCTAAACCAGCCAGAAAGATGAGAGGGATTTTTTTTTTTTTTTAAACCTGGCAAGTGAAGTCACCCTTTGAAGTGATATTGAAGCCTCCCTTTTTAGCCTGCCACCTCCCTCTGTGTAAAAACTTTTATCTAATTTTTTTGGTCACTTTTTTTTTTTTTCCTGCCCCTTCGCTGGCTCTGCTTTCTGGTTTGAGGGTGACTCCTATTGTTTTGATCTCCCAGGACAACATCCTGATGTGAGGATGCTGCCTGCGCCTACACACACAGACGGCCCAAGATGTAAGCTTTGGTAAAGACCCACCTCGGCCCCAGCCCCGGGGAGAAGGATTGGCAGTGAATGAATGATGGGACATGTAGTCCCAAGTACTATGGGCAGCAGCGCACTCCCCATCAGAAAGTTCTTGTAAGCAGCGAGGGGGAGAAAGTGTGTGTGTGTGCGTGCGTGTGCGCATCCTTATGCAATTATTGAAGAAGAATGGTTAATGGATTGGTGCTGCATTTGTCCAAAACCAGTTAAATTTTGTGATGAATCTCTCTAGCCCATCCCGTTGTCCTCATGGAAATAGTAAATGACCTACTGTACCCGACCACCTCAGATGCAGATAAAATGGTTTTTCAGCTGCCACGTGTTCTCTGCTGGCCAGAAGGCATATGTGTCTGGTTCAGTTAGAATGTGAATGATGGGTGTTTAGGGCACATGTGCCAAACTCGGTATGGGCTGGCCTTGCATAAAAAGGTAGTAAATGTAGAGCCCTCTGGTTGGAATCAATAAAGTATAACTTAAATCAGTGGACTAATGAGGTTCTGTTCACAAGATACGGCCCCTTGCTACCATTAAAATGGAGACTACATGGACACTTGGCAGCAGAGTTTAAATTAATGAAACCTTCTGTTAGCAAAGGTCAAGAATGAGCGAACAGTAAACTATTTTTGTCTTTTTAGGTACCTCCAAATGACATTGATAAACCCCGAAATTCATACACACTGCAGGATCTGCAGCCTTATACAAACTATCTCCTTTCCCTGCGCTGTAAGCGCCAGAACGATAAAGGATACTGGAGTGACTGGAGTAAGGAATATGCAGCCATTACCCCAGAGTCTGGTAAGTCAAAATGCATTCATATTACAGGTGTTTTTTTATCAAATGTATTTTTAAGGCTTAATTCACATGGAAATAGATTATATGTATTTATAGAACATTTCTAAATGCATATAATTATTTTAAATGGTATACTGCACACTGCATTTACTTGCTTTCAGGTGCATTCAGTTTAGCTGTGTTTTAGAAAACATTTAGTTTTGAGTCCAGGAGCAGATTAGATACTCTGAATGCGTACTATGTCCCCACCTACAGTTGGGGAATGGCTGAAAGAGATTCATTCTACACAATCCTTCCAAAAATTGTCATTCACTAATAGAGGCTCCGATGGTTAGAAAAAAGGAATTCTATGTTATAAATAGTCTTATTGTGTGCATGTCCTAGCTACTGCTCTGGGGCATAGATTAGACTATCTCTGTAAGTCCTGGGAGGGCTCTCTCTCTCGCTCTCTCTCGCTCTCGCTCTCTCTTCTCTCCCCCCCCCCCGATCT